TGGGCAGTGGTGGTAACCCTCTGGAGCGCTTTCCTATCTGCCACCGTGCAGTTAGCAAACCATACACAGGTGCAGTAGGTTAAAATACTCTCAGTGGTACAGGGGTAGAAGGTCACCAGCAGTAAACCATAAGCAGTGTCCTAGAATAACACCCAGTTACTACAACAATGGACTTCCAGTGCCCGGTTGTGCTAGAGTCTCTGTGCTTCCAGACTGGGACCGCAGAGCCACCTCTGTGTCCACAGATGAACTGCACAACAGCGCGTCTTCTTTGAATCCGAAGGACTACCATATATATGGGTGGGAAAGTGGCAGGATTCTGACTCAAAGGGTTCAAGAAATGACAATGACAATTTTGGGAAGTACAGTGAGGCTTTATGCAGGGCAAGGGGTATACAGATCAGATTTTTTTTGCTTTTCAGGTCATGTGAGGAAGAATATTTATTGTGTTGATTTAGAGAGAATATATAAGAAAGTCAATAGGCTTAAATTATGGAATGTTTATGCAAATATGGAGTTGAAGGTTGACTGATAAATTCAATAACAGTGATACTTAAGGTACCAGGCTAGACACTGGGAGACTGTGAGTTCTAGTTCCACCTTAGACATGAACTCAGCTGTGATGTCTCTTTGCTTGTTTAATGCATTTGTGGCTAAGGAACGCTTGTGATGGAAAAGTATGTTTGTCAAGGACATGAATATATGTGTACTTTTGTGTGCAGACAATGCTGGTTGACTCACAAAACTAACATATGAGGAAGCATAAATGGGTTAGGAGGAAGGGGAAGACTAAAAAAAGTTGTGGTTATATGGAGCTGATGAGATCCTTAAAAAGAGAAAGGTCAGAATTTTAGAAAACAAAAGGCAACCTATGAAGCGGTATATAGATGTGGTAGAAGCAATGAGAGTTTGCAGAAAAGTATGGAGAGGTATAGTGAAAAATGTTGATATAAATTAATTTCAGTTCTGTTTATTTTTGTTTTCTTAATTCTTTCTTAACCTTTGATTCTTTTGGCTTAGCATTTCTTGCTCTTTTTTCTGCTCTCTGCATAACACTGCTTATCGGAAAATGGAACAGCATCGTGAAAATATATTTATGCATACCTGAAAGCTGTTACTTGTTATGAATTTCTGTAAACATAATAAAAAATATGTGCAACTGCAGATATATCAAAAAAAACAATTTAAATGTTCAAGGAAATGGTTTCAACATCAGAAAAACACAGATGATTCCTCACCTTCTTCATATACTTACTGCTCCAAAGAATCCTGCTCGAGCTATTGCTTCCTTTTTGGCCAATTGTAGCACATACTGAATCTTGTTCTGATATTTCTCCATTTCAGTTAACTCGTGCCCAAAAGCTCGAACGGTTCTTAAATTTCCAATCCGTTCTTCGGCTAACTGTAGTAAACAAAATGTGAAAATTAAGATAATCTCCCACAAGCCTTCCTGGATTTCCCTCAATGCATGCTGTCATTAAACTAACAGAGGATCTTTTCTGCTAAACTATTTACATAGCCTAGATGCATTTATCATACTATAATACAAATTATTAGGCTAGGGAAGAATGGATTACACTATTTCCAGACAGGGTCAATTTTGCATGTTCATTCACAAACCTCTTCTGATCTATTTCCATAACAAGCTACTTATTTTTAATCAGTCAAAAATTTAAAACATTTTAAAATGTATTTTATCTAAGAGTATGTATTTCTAAATACATTTGGCACTGCATTATAAGCTTAGAGACAGACAAAATCCTTCAAAAGAAATAGCCTAATTTGAATCATCTCGTTAATCCAAGCAATCAGATCAGAGTCAATTCACATTGGAATTCACAAAAGAACAAATTCTTCAAGCACCTTGAGCTATAAGACACTTTGAGATGTCATTGCATGGAAAAATTACTTCAAATTGCGGAATTACAATGGTGACTATATGGAAATGACTTCAATCAGAACACAGTGGGGACTTGTGGGAAATGAGCACGAAAGAGAAAAGCTCAGGGCAGTTCAACACTATCTTTCAACATTCTCATTTGAACAATTGAGAACCAACCTGTGTAGCTTCTGCGAGGGAATCCTGTGTCATTCTAGTCAATTTTCGTAAATATGTTCCATAAAGCACAGCTATGACAGCCAGAGATGGTACTACAGTTAGGACGAATGTAGCAAGTTTTGGAGACACAAAAAACTAGAAGTAAAAAAGATCGATGTTAATTTTTTAATACAGTTTACAGAGGCTTTGCTAGATTTATTAATCAAATGGTTCAAATACAGGTAGTCCTCTGTTAATGACTGCAATTGGGACCGGAATTTCTGTTGCTTCCAGTCGCTGTCATTAAGTGAATCCTGTGCCATTGTTAAGCAAGAATGTCACGTGGTCACCATTTGTGACCTCCTGCCGGCTCCCCCATTGACTTTGCTTGTAGGAAGCCAGCAAAGAAGATTGCAAATGGTGACAACGTGACCGTGGGACGCTGCAAGCTGGGCACTGAGCACCCAGATTGCGATCATGTGACTGTGGGGGTGCTGCAATGGCTGGAACTTCGAGGATCGGTTGAAAGTACCACTCATTTAGTGCTGTTGCAAGTTTGAATGGTCACTGAATGAGTGGTTGGTCAGCAAGGACAACTTGCATGTCATGCTGGGCTGTTTCCTTTCAATTTTTTTTTGCAATTTTTTAAAACCAGTTCTCATTTTTCAGTCCTAGTTCCCTATTGGTGAATTATTCTTTTGGAGCTATGTTGTAACTATTAAGAGCAATAACAGCCATTGTATAGGACACAGCTATCAACATAGGTTCCACTCACTTTTATGATCAAACCTCACCCAAACCACAAGATACAACTGCATTACAACTCAAAGTAGAAGGAAAAGAGATTAAAAATGATGCATGTTAGCTTTATTAGCTTTTCTCTTATATATCTTGTGACCTCTCTACCTTCAGTCATATAAAGCAAAGTGCTTGGGAGTCTTTTACTGCTAAATATAAAAAGCACATTTGGAGCCAAAGGATTCTAGATATTCTATGTAATGTATATGTAATGCAATCTTTTTGCCTGTTCTAGTGCTACTGATGGGAAGCTGGGATTGTATGATTTTTCTTTATTATGGAAACTATGAATCTGTGGCATAATTTGAATGCTGTAACTTCTGTCCATTGAGTTATCCTCTCTTTCATAGCTTATAATTAAATATGGTTTTAATGTTTGCATTACATAACAACCTATTTCATACCATGTGTTTAAACCACATTGTCTTTGGCTGAGCAAAGCCATTACAGCTTGTAAACCATGGTTTATGGCTTAGCTATATTCAGTTATGGTACTTATGTCCCTTTTCTCTGTGAACTCATAGCATGAATGAGACATACTGTACATTCCCTAATTTCTTACCCACAGCAACAGCACCGCAAGGTAGATGGGACTGGAAAAGAATGACTGGCCTAAGTCATCCAGTGAGCTCTGTGGTCAGGCAGGGACTTGAAACTGGGTCTCCCTGGTCCAAATCCAACCTCTTACCCACCACACCTGCCTTCCCAGTCAGTTAGATATTTTTCAACAAACCATTGTTAAAATAACCCCTTAATGCACTGGGCAGACCTAGTTATTTATTTGATTTCTACCTGACCCTGGTAAAGACATGAAGATGGATGGCGGGAGCGGGGCAGGCAGCAGTATTATATCACAGGATCTGCGGAAATGGAAGGAGAACAATGCAAACACATACCATCATCCCAACAGCAGCTGATGCCTGACCGGCAGCTCTTAACCCATCCGAAAGGTTTTCAGTGACCGAACGGCCCAAGAGAGTGGTGTCTGAAGACAAGCGATTAATCAGCTCTCCGGTGCTGGTTTTGTCAAAAAAAGCTACTTCTTGTCTCAAGAGAGAAGAAAATATTGTTTCTCTCAGACGTTTCACAATTCTTTGCCCTAAAACAGTCAACAAGCGTGGAAATTTATAGAAAAGATTTTAATATTAAAAAAACTTAGCATTACCACCATTCCCAAAAGTTATTTGCAATATTCCAAGTTCACTACCACTTATACTCTGATGTCCTTCAGATGTATTAATCTGTCCCTATTGTGGGTGAGGCTGTGTGAGCATCTTTTTCCAACTGCCTAAGCAGGATTTCACATTGGATGTGCTCCAATTGTCTGAAACAAAATATGGATAGGATAGAGATCACTGCACTCCACTCTGATCATCTTATCCCTCCCCTTCCTATTGCTTACAGTAGTCCTCACTTAATGACTGTTTGTTTAGTGACCATTTGACATTATGAAGGTGCTAAAAAAGTGACTTACGACTGGTGCCCGAAGTTACAACTGTTGCAGTGCCTCCATGGTCACATGATTGCAATCCAGGCACTTGGGAACCAGCTCACATTTATGACGGTTGCAGCATCCCGGGGTCACACGATCGCCATTGCAACCTTCCCAGCTGGCTTCTGGCAAGCAAAATCAATGGGGAACTGTGTAATTCATTTAACGACCATGGCAATTCACTTAATGGCCGCCACAAAAAAGGTCGTAAAATCAGGTCCGGTCACGTGATTCGTTTAATGACTGCATTGCATAGCAACCAAAATCTGGTCCCAATTCTGGTCATTAAGCGAGGACTACCTGCACTCTGAATTTCAAGGCTACTAGTTGCAGGTCTGTCCAGCTATGAGGAACCTAGGAATCCCAATTCGATGATAGACTGGTTTTTCACTGAAAAACATGTTAAAAGCCATTACTTCAATTTACTGAATGTTTGCAGAATCCTTCAGTTCGTCACTACCAGACAGCCAAGCATGTGCCATGCTTGATTACTGTAGCAGCCTATTGGCTGGATTACCCCACACCTCTTCCTGCCACTCAGAATCTTGTACTTTGCTGGATCTTCTTTATTTTGCCCCATCTCTTTTTAACACAAATTAATATATTGGGAATTTGAGAAATATTAGTGGTGTTGACACATTGTATATTGCATATGAGCAGAGCCTGTTATTTGAAAGATCTGTTGATGGCTCATATACCTGTGATTCCCAAGTGTTTGATCCAATTCTCTAGCTAGGGACATTTGGCTCTACTACTACTAGAATAGCCACATCATGGTGAAGAGTTTTTCTTCATCTGGTTCCAGTTCTGTGGAAAAGACTTTCCCCAGGCTTATGTTCGGAATCAGATCACTCAAAGTTTAAAAAGCAATAAAAATACTTTTTCATGGGCCTCTATGAAATAGATTTAAAATAAATTCTTGTCAATCTAACTATATTGAGGTGATTATTATGTTATGTACTTTTAGTATAAAGGCTCCTTATTTTATATTATGATATTATATTGAATTGTAATGTATTATGTTCCAAATGTCATTTTATTCTGTGTCTGTACTACACTCAGTTATAAGCTCTTAATAAATAAAACAATTACTACTATACTGTTACTAGATCCTGTTCATCAGCTTCAAGGAAGAAATGTGTTGCGCAGGAAGGGAGGGGGCTATATGCATATAATGAAATATTGGATCAAACAGTAATACTGGTTAAAAAACACAAAAGAAATGAGATATTTTGTGTATTTTGGTAACAATATGCAGAACATGATTTTGTGGCAGAAAAGGGCATTTCAAGTTGAAAAGCCCTTTCAGTTTGTGATGCTTTTTCTTGTTGTTCCATAGAAATTATACTGTTGTTTCTCCTGGTTTCAATGACACAATTTCTATGGCTGGAAAGAAAATTCAGGGTCACGTGCGGATTGCGGGTCACAAATGGCTCACTTTTGTTCTGATAAAAGGAGCAGCCTGCCCATCCACTGGCAGGAAGCTCTTGCTGAATCTGGCTCCGTATTTTGAATATCTTATTTACTATTGGCCTAGATGGAATTCTATATGGTTCACAACAATATGTTATTTTACATTTGTACCCAATTACCTGAAATCTGCATGAGGTAGACACGTATTCCATTGGCAGTGGCACCAAATATAAATATTCCAGTTAATAAGGCACATAGCGTGGACAGGTTCTCTGCAAGTTCACCAGTTGGATTTGTGTAAATGACATCAATAACTTTCCCCAAGAAAAAAGGAGCAGACATAGTGATGACACTGGAAATAGCCAAAAAGCCAACAGCAGCTGGGCGGGGGAGGGGGGAGAGAACAAACAAGCCATCTTTTTAGTAATGAAAGATTAACGCAAGTTTTACATTAACATTTTATAAAATACTTAAGCTCTTTACAGGAACATTTAAAAAATATATATTCTGAATGTTAACATTATTCTGATGAATTAAACTGAAAATTGTTTGCAAATGGTAGCCTTGTTGGTCTTTTGAATGCAAGGTATCTTAAAATCTCCTGCTTATCAGTTTAGCATAATCCCAGGTAAGTGTGGATGTGTGAAGGACTGAACCTTAAAAATTAACAAATATATTATGGCATAATATAACCAGAGTCCAATGCATCAGATGCATAGAACAGAACTCCAATTTAGTGATCCAGGTCACATGTTAAGCTAGGATAACCATGGCTTGTTAACAAACCACAGGTCTTCCAATAGAAGAGAATATATGTGGCTCAGGGTTGAACTATTGAGTCCTTGCTGATCTCTGAGCTTGGTTATTTGCTTGCAAACAACCAAGCTCAGAGAGCACCAAGGACTCCACCACAGGTCTTGTTTATACAAGAAATCATGATTGATTTTAAACTTAGCTTACCCAATAAGCCATAATGGCTGGATTTACACATTGAAGAAAGCCATAAACCACAATTTACAAAGCACTGGGCTGACACTACACTAAAACAAAATCAAACAAAGCACACTACTCCTTAGCATTATTTGTACCCCAGGTCACTGTTTTAAGCAACCTAGTATCACTAACCAGAAAGGCGTTCAAGCCAAACTCCACTTCTGTGAAACTTCCAATGTCCTTACCTGCAAATTGTATAAGGGATTTTTTTTTAATGATCCCATAAATGTAAGCTACATTATGAATAATACTTCCTTTCTATTTACATTTACAGCAAATTCACATTAAAGATTTGATTATGCTCAGTTTGCCCTGCCCCAGTACAGCTGCAGAAGGAAAAAAATGCTTACTGAGACCTATCTTCCTTTTTACTGCAAGATCTTAACTCCTGAATTACACAGGGATTAAAGTTTCACCCCATTCTTAATGCAGCATTTGCCTTGAGCAGTTTCACCACAACCTCAAATGAAAAACTGTTTTGCAGTGGGTGTAGCTGTAGATATTATGTAATTTGATTTTGCAATACAGAACGTATCAAACATGCAGTATCTTTGGTAGTACACATAAGGAGTCTTCTTACTGTACTGTACAGAGGTACAGAAAAAGTAAGCAGCAGCTGCCCAACAGGGAATCCCAGCTCCCTCTCTAGAAAGCAAACCATGCTGAGGAGTTTGGATGAAAGGCTTGTCCATGCTGGTGAGGGATGATGGGAGCTGTAATCCAAGACTTCCAGAAGATACAAAATTGGGGAAGACTATAGTGTGCAAATGGAAGGGAACTGCAAATGCAATCCAGATTCGGTGGGGGCAGGAATACGCGAGGAGATCACAGAAACGGGCTTGAAGTCCATGTAGATCTTGAGTTGAGTAGAACCCCATAAAGATCAAAGAACTGTGGGGCGGAGATCAACCACCTTCGCGGCGGGGAAGGAAAGGCGAGGGCTAGTAAAGGAGTCAAGAGCAGCGCGAGGGCATCCACGGTGGGCATTTGCTTTAGCCCAGGCTGAGGTGGAGCGAAGGACAGGGTTAGGCTTAGGGGACAGGAAGCAGCAGCAACGGCAGTCTTTCCACGCTGCCTGCGGGAGCCAGTTATAAGTTATGCGGGGAGGGGAGCGACGACCCCGCTACAAGATATACTGCGGGAGTAAAATCAGAGAGTAAAACCAAGCAACGCGCCCGCGCAAGAGGGCAGCGCGCTTTGCAACCCGAGACCTCCAGCCGAGAAGGAGATACCTGTCAGTTTCCAGCGTTCCGGGTACGCCAACGCCAAAAGCCTCTTGGCGTCCGAGACGGCGCGGTCGCCGGGCCCGGCCTCCAAGGGTGGCTCAGTCTCTTGGGGGGGGGCGGGGTTCTACCGCGGGGATTCCGTCGCGGCTGCCCAGGGGGAGGCGGAGCGGGAAACGGGCGGCACATGGCGAAGCGTACCGGGGGGCAAAGCGGCGACCCTGCACCTCTCCGAGACCCACCCCGCGCCCCCGGGGGCCGCAGGGCTGAAGAGAGCCCGAGGCCA